GTCAGAGAATGAATTTGTGGGAGTTGTTTTTCCCTACAAAGATTGTGGTCATTTGTCACAGCAGTGAAATCCACACACATACAAAATTACTTGGAGAGAGAGAGAGAGAGAGAGAGAGAGAGAGAGAGAGAGAGAGAGAGAGAGAGAGAGAGAGAGAGAGAGAGAGAGAGAGAGAGAGAGAGAGAGAGAGTATTTAACATTCTGTGTCTCTTTAAGATCAGTCATTTTAGGGTTATTTACATTCTGTCTCCAGCAGAACCACCTAGGTTATTCAAGGAAGATCATGCCACCAAGCCAGACTCCTGGTGGTTAAATTCACGACCCGCCAGCAGTGGTCTTTATTTGGGGCCAAGACTAACCCTCTGTGATCACACACATCCTTGGCTCTGACACCCCGTATAGCAAGACGAGTGAAAATGCTGTGGGCTGGTAAAAAAAAAATGTGTGTGATTCAAAAGCAACTTCTTACAAGCTGCTTAAAAGCATTCCTACTTGCCAGCTCACTTGTAGCTGGCTCGGGTGACTCAAGGACGAGGCCGGGAAGGCCAAGGCTAGGTTTAACCTCAGGGCCTTTTCCACTTCGGTGCTGGACCCAAACTCTGCAGTCAGAGGCTGCAGGCTAGGTGGGCACTGTGGGGGGGGGGAGGGTGGGCAGAGACATGGGGGGCACCCGTGCCATTTCAGCAGGCGCAGGGCCCTGCAAGGTCGCTGTTCTGCTCTGTTTCTGGACTGTTATGCTTCATCAGCACAGCAGAGGGTGCTGAGGAGCACCACCTTCATCCTACCAATAGCTATCCCCCTGTGGTTCTTTCATGAGGGCTATGAAAGCGCTGAGAAGCCTTCCTTGTGTGAAAGTAGAGATTCTTTCACTTTAGGGTTTTATTACATATCCTTTCCCTCCATATTCATTGCAGCCTTCTTCATTCTCCAGTTTTTCTTTTCTATGGTCTGCTTGATGCATTGCTTTTCTATTCTTGTGAACCATCACCTCTGAATTATTGACATTAATGGAGAGAAGATTTCAAGGAGAGCAGTAATTAGATGAATTATGCTGTATTAAAGTGCTTTATAGATCGAAAAGGGATAAAGGAAGAAGCTTTTTCTTGGTATACTAGGCGCTCTCCCAGCTGCCTGCGGGCTCCATGGACAGGCTTTGTTCTGCCCACAGACCCTGCGGAGGGCGGGGGGGGGGGGGGCACAGCGGCCAGCCCACCTGTGGGGAGGGGCAGGGATGCTCAACAGAAGTCAGCTGTTTTGCTCTGAAACTTGCCTGTGTCAGGTGTCCCCATTACCTAGCTGCAAAATTGTTAAGTAAACTGGTGAAGAGTAGGCAGAAAAAAACATAAGTCCACAAAATCCAAGTTAAATACTGTAAAAAGAACTGATGAAGTCTCCAAAAACTCTTGCTGGTTAACTGGGTATGAGTGAGTCAGGGTTAGGCAAGAAAAGTCAGAAGTAAAAGGAGAGGATTGTGAACTGTATTCTTTGCAAGTGCTTCTGCCATTGTAAGTAAACAAAAGTGAAAGTCACAGATGCCCAATATGAGTGGATCTTCTTGCTGGAAAGACAGCAAGGAGTGCCAATTAATGTCCTTCACGCTACACCAAAAGACATATTATAGTTTTATATTTGCTGATTTTCATTTAAATTGAAGCAGTTAAGGTTTGGGCATAACCCCCCCCCCGCACCTTACCTTTGGTCAACTGTTCTGATTAATGTTTCCAACCAGGTCGTGGCCTGGTCCTCTGAGCAATCCCCAAACACAGGCTGATTTCAAATGGGTTGCCTTTGTTCTTAAGTCTGTGCACACAAAGATCTCACCAGTCTTTCTAAATGCCAGGGAAAGGCTGGCTTCTCACCAGCTGCTTGGGGCAGGGATAGTGGTCATAGGTCTTACAAGTGTCCTGAGCGTACCTGCCTCACTGTAAGGACAGCCCCAGGTGGTCGGGAGCAGGCTTATCCAGGCTTATGTACCCTGGGTAGCCCAGGAGATTTCAGCACCACAACCTTCCACGCTCTGGGGCCTGCGGCATCAGAGAAACAGGAGCCTTCTGGTCATGGAAGGGTGGTGGACGGTTGGGAAAAAGAGGTCATCAGACAGGGGCAGTGAGGGAAGCCTGTGTTCCTAACTGTGACTCTCTCCTTATGATCTCTCCTTGTGATCAGTAAACAAAACAGAATACTCACAAGTGGTTTCACCAGCTAGTTCTGACTTGAGAATCTCAATACTTCCTTGCATTTACTACCATGGCGGGTGGCCAGACAGTAAAGAATCTGCCTGCAATGCAGGAGACCCAGGTTTGATCCCTGGGTCAGGAATATCCCCTGGAGAAGGGAATGGCAACCCACTCCAGTAGTCTTACCTGGAGAATTCCACAGACAGCCATGTGGAGGCAAAGAGTGGGACAGGACTGGGTGACTTAACACTACCATAGCTGTTACTGCATTTTACCACTAGAGGGCAAGAGTGTTCCTAAAATAAGGGATTCATCCAGAACCTAATCACTTTGAATTAAGAAATTTCAGAGCTGGAAGAGGTCTTAAAAATCATCTGGCTCACAGGCTTTCAAATTTTTTTCAACTGAAATGCACAAGAACTGCATGCTTCATAATGAACCACTTCCTACATGTATGTTCGCAATATTTTGAGGCACTACTTACCTTTACTCTGCAATGCACGCTAAACAATTTGTATTCCAAACTGTTTCATTACAAACAAACAAAAAACAACAGAAACCACTAAATAGATGTCATAACCCACCAGTGGGCCATTAGCTTGAAAAACCCTGAGTTGGTCCCAGTCTCTCATCTACTAAGGGACACAATAACCCAGAGGATGGAGAAGGATGCTTCGAGCTACACTTCTCTTACCCACCCAGCCACCTGCTAAACCCAGAGTCAGTCCTGGAGGAATGAAAGACATCGTGCAGCAACTCAGCACTTACTCTACTAATGCACTGATTGGATAAAGTAGTTGACAGTCTATCATTTCACCTCTTCTCAATGATACAACTGCTCATGTAATCGAAGCAGAAATTCCTTGCATTACAGGTCTCTTCTCATTCAAGTAGTTTCAATCAATCAAGTGATTTCAATCAAGCAATTTCATTGAATTTCCATAGAAACTGAAACCACTTTAGTCTCTCGAGAGTCATGGCCCTGAAAGTCACCAAGTTCTCTTCCTTGGCTCCCTGATGTTGAAACATTTACAATCATTTTGGGAGGAAATGTAAAGGTAAACCAGAAGATCACAGGAGTGTATCCTTTCTTAGGGTCAATGCTCTGGGTTCTTCTATTTAACTCCCTTTCATGCATATATGCCTCTAATTTATTGATTATCCCCACACCCCTTGGATTTTTTAGGCCAAAAAGGAGCATCCCTTTGAAATTCAGGATTATATTATGACAGATGAAAAGAGTAACTGAGCTTTACGGATAAGAAAGGAAACATTTTCTTCACTCACTTGGATTTGAGAGCTAGTTGATTTTGTGAAAGATGACACAAATTTTTTTTAAAGGGGGTGTCCAGCAAGGTCCTGCTGCATAGCACAGGGACCTCTGCTCAATGTTATGTGGCCTCCTGGACGGGAGGAGAGTTTGGGGAGAACAGATAAATGTGCACGTGTGGCTGAGTCCCTCTGCTGTTCATCTGGAACTATCACAGCTTTATTAAGCAGCGCTCCAATATAAAATAAAAAGGTTTTAAAAACTAAAATTATATAAATAAGGGGATAGCTAAATGCATGCAAATGCAAATGATTTAATTCTTTAATGGCTAGAAGGAAGAAAAACATTTCTGGGACTGAAAAATTCCTGGTGCACTTTAGAAATCTGAGGTTGGCTTTCTGTAGAGAATCCTTCCCATTGATAAGCAGGGAGCAAATCTCCGGGTGGGGGGTGTGCTGTTCGGGCTCTGGGACGTGGCTACTCTCCAGTTTGATAGAAAGTTCTCAAACTCTATAGCTCTATTCCCTCACTTCTCTGCGGGGAAGGTACTTAAACTGAACCTCCTTGAGACAGCAAGTTCTGCTACAAGTGACAAGCGCAGGTCGCCTTTTTCTAGGTGGGGGCGGGGGGGATGCTTTCACCAGTCAATAAATCTAGCCAAACTAGGTACAGGGTTAAGTCTTTGAAGAACCAAGGCGTTCTCTTCCAAATGGCGTTCTCACACCCCCAACACCACATCTAGAAGAACTATCTTAAAACTTCTACTGCCACTCCTTAAAATTCTCTCTTTATCCTCTTCATTAAACTCTAGATTCTTCGATGCCGAGTCTACAGGCTTTGTGGAATATTGGGGGGGGGGGGTTGCTGGAAAGAGCATCGTTGTTTGGGGACAAACAGGGTAGTTCTGTAACTTTCGTTGTCATCTTCTACTGGAAAAAGCCACGTAGCTCCACGGACACAGAACGGTACCTACAGCCTTGAAATCAGCAACGGAACAACGAGCTGCCAAATTCTCATTCATTCCGTTAACAAACACAACAGCCCTGGGTCATTCACTCTTATTAAAGCAGACGCCAGGATTACGAAGGTTCCTGGCCAGGTCAACGCGTAAACTGCAATATTATCCTAAACCCTTTCAAGACGGCCTGCATTTGACAAGGGAACGTCCACGGTTCGGCGTGGGAACTGGCTTGGATTTTGAAAAACCCTGTCCAGAACTGACGCTCAAGCCACTGGTGGGTCATGCATTCGGTGACCACGTCAGAGCAACCAACTCTGGAAAGATCAAGCCTGGCCTTTAGGGCCTGCGCCTCAGTTTCCCCATGTACCTGCTTCCCAGGTATGGGAGCTACCCTGTGAACATTCTTTACGGCCGTGTAAATGCCCGAAGGAACAAGTCAGCTTTCCGCGGACCCTGCGCCCCGACGGGCCCTGCGGCGCGCGGGAACCGTCCCGGGCCGTCTCGGCACCTGGCGCCTCGCGCTCCCGCCCGCGGAGCCCCAGCACAGGCGCGCGCGCCCAGCAGCCAGCGCCCGCGCCGCTCGGCTACTCACCCACGCGCGGCCGTCCAGCACGTTCTCCAGAACCTGAAGGGCGCTGGGCGAGGCGGCGCGGAAGTTGAAGAAGTGCAGCGCCGCGCGCGCCGCCTGCGAGAGGAGCCGGCTCGAGGGCTCCGCGTCCTGGAGCCAGCCGGAGTCCTCGGGCCCCCCGGACGCCGCCGCCCCCTGGAGGGCGAGCAGCAAGAGCAGCGGTCCCGCGAGCCGCTGGGCCGCGGGGCGCGTGTCCCCCGGCCGGGGAGAGGAAAGCGGTTGCCTGCGGAGCTGCATGGACGCGGCTTGGCGCGCCGCTCGACCGGTCCGAGCTTCGGGTGGGCGGCGCCGGCGCTTGAGGAAATAAGGCCGGGCGGGCCCCTCCCCTCCGCCCCCAGGGCGGCCCGCGGGAGGGCGTCCAGGTCCCTCTCGGCGTTTCCCGCAATCCCTGGGCCCCTCCGCCCCGCCCCGCTCCGCCCGAGCCCCAGCTGCCCCGGCTCGGTACCCGGACGCGGCGGCGCCTCCGCGGCGCGGGGCGGGGATGTCTGGCCGGGGCCGCGCGGCCAGGGGGACAGGGGGCATCTCTCCAGGGAGCGCGGCCAGGTCGGCGCCACTCCGCGCCCACAGCCTAGCTCGGGGACCTGGTTTCTGGCTGCGGTTGCTGTGATTTCGAAGCCCTCGGGGTTTCAGAGCAAACCTGCTTCAGTTATTCAAGGCTTGGAGCTTATTTCCCAGAAGAAGAAATTGGAAACGGGTGGAGAACAGGACGTGACGCTGGCATTGATGGGGGTCCTTACAGCCCAATGCCTTTGACGTGAGCCAGATACCCAGAGAATTGGGGCCAGAGAGGGGGCTGCGCTGGTAAGCTGATAAGGACCTAGAGGCCCCACTGGACTTGGAAACGTTGATAACCGTGGTGGAGTGCAGGTGGGCGTGGAAACCAGAGTCCGGCGAAGTGAGGCATGGATTGGGCTGTAGCCCTGTGGAGGCAGCAAGGGTTGGCGACTCTTTTTAGCCTCGTGGCAGTGAAGGAACGAGATGGCCCTTGTTCTTAAGCCGCAGACAGAAAGCCCAGGAGAGCTCGGAGTTAGAGGCACTCCCAGCATCCGAGTTCCCACCTGCCGTTAGTTTGTTCCGGGGCCTACCCCTCCCCAACACTCGCTGACCCCATCCCCACCGAGGAGCCGAAGACGGCCCCTTCTCCTTGCTGGTTGCTGGTTGACGCCCCACATACAAAGAATCTGGATAAGATATGCGTGGGGAAGCCTGGCGGGGGGGCGATAGATGGGGACGCCATCTTTGAAACATCTGCCCTCCCCCACTTCTTCGTTTGGATGCTGTCCATCTGTGCCTGTCTTTTCTCCAAGGTATTCATGGAACACTCACCCTGCTAGGCCCTGCGGGAAGTGAGGACGCGGGCAATCTGATAAGTCTCCATGTTCCTGGAGCACACCTTCTAGGCAGGGGGACCGAGAGGCAAGGGAATGAACCCTTTGTTGGATGCAGTTACATGCTGTGGAGGAAGAGTAGACCTGAAAGGCAGTTGGTTATCATTTTAAACAGCGTAGTCAAAGCAGACGTCGCTGAGAAAGTGATATTTAAGTAAGGACCCAAAGGAGAGATGAGGGAGCCAGGTGGACATGTCCAGAGCACTGCAGGAAGAGGGGACCGCAGGAGCGAGGCCCCGAGGCAGCAGTCCTCCGGCATGTGTGAAGAGCGAGCAGGTGCGGCTGGAGGGAAGGACAAGGAGAAGACAGCGATGCCGAGTCTGAGGGACAGTGGGGAGCCGGGCAGAGCATGTGTATTGTGTCTGAGTGCGCCCCCATCTTGCCAAGTCTCGCGATGAAGCCCACTGAGCTGAGCAGAGGAGACAGGAGCCCGGCTTCCTGATGACGTTGAGCACCCAAATTAGCTGATCCTGGAGCTCATTTCTAATGTTCATTGAAGCTGGAGGTTCTGTTTCTTGCCTTCAGAGGCAGCCTAACACAATTATCTTCCTAGAACCCAGGCATCTTCTTCTCCAAGGGGTTATCATGGTAGGTTCCTTGAGAAGTTATCACTTCCAGGTTTTATAAAGACTAAATTCTCCTTATTTTATTTCAGTGCTTCACCCCCAGTGGGTGCTGGGCGGCTTTCAACCACAGTAACAGGAAAACTCATCAACGTTGTGGACTCTGCAGTGGTGTGGAATGGGAGGTCTGCCAGATGGTGTGAAGGATTCAGCCTTTCTCCAGCCTTCTGCACAGCTCTTCTCAGCTGTTTGGCTTTTGGTCCATAGACTCACCTGTAGTTCCATGATTACAGAAAGGCTGTCACAGCTCCAGACACAGCTCCAAGCTTGATCCCTGCACTGGGAAGATCCCCTGGAGAAGGGAATGGCAACCCACTCTAGTATTCTTGCCTGAGAAGAAGTAGTCACACAAGGGAACAGGCATAGCTGCCTGAGTTACAGAGAACTCTTCCAAGGTCAGCTGTTTATAATAGTGGTAGTAACTACACCTGGGCCAGATTGTTGGTCAGGAACACACATTTCAAAAGTTAATTACAGCATTCACTTTATTAACAGATTTTCTGGAACAGGAGAGGATTCCTTTGATTGAGAACTGTGTGTTTGTCCTTTGTCCATTTATCTGTGAGATTGTTGAATTTCTAATTGCTTTATAGAAGTTCTTTAAATACTAAGGAATGGGGCTTCCCTGGTGGCTCAGATGGTAAAGAATCTGCTTGAAATGCAGGAGACTCAGGTTTGATCCCTGGGTTGGGAAGATCTCCTGGAGAAGGGAATGGCTACCCACTCCAGTAGTCTTGTCTAGAAAATTCCATGGACAGAGGAGCCTGGTGGGCTGCAGTCCACAGGTTCACAAAGAGTCAGACACGATTGAGCGGTTTTCACTTGCAGGCCGAGATCTGTCACAAGAATCACTAATATTTTTTCCGCTAAGTTCCTACACTGTGTGTGTGTGTGGTGGTCCTTCTTGCCAGATGCTGTGTGCATGGGTGTTGTTACTGGCGCACTGTGTGCGCCAAAGGGCCTGAACTTGTGACACAGGGCTGATCCCGCCCTGGTCTCCCTGGCATTGTGGGAGGGTTCCCTGCAGGCAGGGAGGAAAGTCTCAGCCAGCGGGACTGTACCACCCCCCCACACCCCGCCCCAGCCAAGAGTGTCCCGCATGTCATGTTTGTGTGTGTGTGTGTTAGCTCAGTCGTGGCCAACTCTTTGCAACCCCAAGGACGGTAGCCCTCCGGGCTTCTCTGTCCATGGAATTCTCCAGGCAAGAATATTGGAGTGGGTTGCTATTCCCTTCTTCTAGTTCCTTAATCATGGCTCAGGTGATTGTGAGCATTTTTATAATGGAGAATTTGGTTTGTGTTTAAGAAATATAATGGTATAAATCATTATATATGTACTTAGATATACTTGAATGAAAAGATTCAAAAGAAAAATTGATATAATATTTTTCCGGGCTATCTGTAATGTCTATCAAAATTATCAATTCGTGTACCCACTGACCCAGGAATTCTACTTCTATAGCTTATAGAAATGATACATCCACACTTGTATGCAGAGATGGATGAGAATGTTTCTTATGTAGGTTGTAAATTCATTTTACAAATGTCTCATTTTCTGCTCTCCACCCAGAACAGCGTCTGGCATACCATAGGCATCAGTACAAATTTTAGGAAAGAATGAAGAGTTAAAGCTGGAAAAATCTTAAGTCCCATGACTGGATAATTATGGTACCTCCATCCAGTGGGATACTCTACCACCATTAAGGAATGAGATCCAAGCGTGTAGATACTGAGTCATCTCTAAGGTATAGTGTTAACAGACAGCAAGGTGTAGGGTAGGGCGAATTGTATGCTACTGTTTGTTTAAAAAGAAACTATATAAACATATGCATGCATTATCAAATGAACTGGAGGAAAACACCTTTTCTAGCGAAGAAAAGCAAAAGGACAAAAAAGGCTGGGGTCTCCCAGCAGGGACTGCTCTTCCTCTGGGTGATGCTCCTCTGATCTTCATCATTTCCTGCCCCTCCTCAGTGCTGCTGAACACGCTTCACTCCACCCTCACACCCCTGGACATTGTGGGGGCTTCAGCATAGACTCGGGGACCTATTTGGGCATGTGCTGGGCTGCACCCTGCAGGCCTGCAAGCCTTGGAGCTGCCCAGCCATGAGACGGAAGGAAGAGCCTGAATACAAGAGCAAGACATCAGGGTTTATCAAATAGCAGAGCTTACAAGTCTGAAGCCAAAGGTCCTGGAGAGACAACCCCTACCCCGTATGGCAGGCAGGACATGGCTGCAGTCTTTGCTATGGGGAAGAGGAAAAAAAGAGGTTGACGCTTACATGGGGAGTTAACATCAAGTTGGCTCATCAGTTACCAGGGACACCAGCAGCTGGGACGGGAGGCAAGCACGCAGGCAGTTCTTGGTTGGGCCTTATGATTAAGGGGACCAGATAGTGATGTGAGAGAAGCAGGTCCTGGCCAAGCAGGGGACGGACGGAGAGCAGGAGAGCAGCCATCTTGAATGGCCTGACCGCACAGAGAGTGAATCAATCGTGAGGAACTGCTGATGGGGTCTTGGAGAGGAGCTCCTGAGCTCTTCTAAGACACCATGTTCTTCCCTCTCTCGCTGTGACTTTGAGAGGAAGCCATGGCCCTGGAAGCTGTTGGCACCATCTTGCCGTCCTCAGGAGAGTGGGTGTCGGGATGAAGGCAGAGAGGAGACAGAGAAAGAAGCCAGGTCCTTGAGACATTACTGACCTGCTGGCTCATGATCTTCCTGAAGCCTGCCCTATCCAGACCTTTCAGTTACAGGAACCAGTGAGTCAACTTTATTGTTTAACCCAACTGAAGCATGATTTTGCTGTCCCAGTTGAAAAATTCCTAATGGACTGCTGAGGCAGGTACCACTGGCAGGAACCAAGGAGCTCTAAGGCTGCCCCGTGGGGTTCTGCTCATGCCAGGCCAGGGAACACCCCAGCTCCCTCCGACCTGAGAAGACAGTATTGGCAGATTCCACCAACACTGGGCTAAACCAGGTGGTGAAGGGAGACCCCCCCCCCCGCCCCCAACAACTCCCTACCTTTCCAGCCATGGGGGCCGGGAGGAGAAGTTTCTGTTCCCATGCTGGACAGCAGTCAGCTGCACTGCCTCAGGCGCTTCTCTAAGAAGAGCGGGCTCAGGATGAATGGGAGGGAGGAAAGACCCTGGGGAAGAGAAGGAACCCCTGAGATAGAGACTGGAATCCAGGCCGTGGCTTGAGTAGGACCCATGGGAGCACTGCTGGG